AGTGTGTTCTGACTGTAGGGCCTGACAAACTTCATGTCACTCATTCTTGAATCAGTCGTCCCGCACATTTCATAATTATACACATGCTGTAATGTGCCGTCTGCGTAGACTGGAGGATAATATGGAATTACAGGTAGATTTGCCCCGGATTTATAAAATAGCTTATTCTGCCTCCATCTGTAGATTTTCACTGAAATTATTGATATGATTGAGACTATGAAGAGCAGGGAGACCACTGTGAGAGCCAAGATTAAATAAAAAGTTAGGTTGTCGTCATATTGTTTTTCATGTGTAAAGTCTGTGAACTCTGACAGCACTTCAGGAAAGCTGTCAGCCACAGCCACATTAATGGAGACCACAGCTGAGCGAGAAGGCTGTCCATTATCCTCCACAACAACAGTCAGTTTTTGTTTGACTGCATCTTTATCAGTCACTTGTCGCACAGTTCTTATTTCTCCATTCTGTAAACCCACTTCAAACAGCGCTCTGTCTGTAGCTTTCTGTAGTTTATAGGAGAGCCAGGCATTCTGTCCAGAGTCCACATCAACAGCCACCACTTTAGTGACCAGATATCCAACCTCTGCAGCACGAGGCACAATCTCAGCCCCCACAGAGGCACCAGTCTGTACTGGATACAGAACCTGAGGAGCGTTGTCATTCTGGTCTTTAATAGTAATTTTCACTGTCACGTTACTGCTGAGCAGAGGAGAGCCTCCATCTTGCGCATTTACCCGGAAGTGGAAATCTTTCAGCTGTTCGTAGTCAAAAGAGCGCACAGCTGTAATCAGTCCACTGTCAGGTTGAACTGACACATATGATGAGACAGAGACTCCATTAACAGTGCTGTCTTCTAGAATATAAGAAACACGGGCATTCTGATTCCAATCAGCATCACTGGCTTTAACTGTAAATATAGAGAGACCAGGTGTGTTATTCTCCAGCACACAGGCCTCATAGTGACTTTTCTCAAATACAGGAGCATTGTCATTCACATCTGATATCTGTAAAAACAGAGAGGCACTGCTAGAGAGCACAGGCACCCCCTGATCAGAGCATGTGACACTGATATTGTATTCAGCATCTCTCTCTCTATCCAGTTGCTGCTCTATACGCAGGCTGATGAAATTACTAGATGGTGATGTAAGAACAAATGGAATGTTGTCATTTATGATGCAGTGAATCTGTCCGTTCACACCTGAGTCTGCATCATCTACTTTCATCATAGCAACAACTGTGCCTGGTGTGGAGTCCTCAGACACAGAGTTTGACATGGAGAGTAAGCTTATCACTGGTTTGTTATCATTAATGTCCAACACATCAATAATCAGCTTACAGGAATCAGAAAGCCCCCCTTGATCTTTAGCCTGGATATCAATCTGGTAGTGACTTGCCTTTTCAAAGTCAACGAGGCCATTTAAAGTTACTTCGCCACTATACTGATCAATAATAAACATGTTTCGCACAATATCATCTTTGCTTGCAATGTAGTACGTCACATGACCATTAGATCCCTCATCTACGTCAGTGGCACTGACTGTGGTCAGTTTAGACCCTTTTGCTGCATTTTCAGTTAATATGGCTTTATATTCCTTTTGTGTAAATACAGGAGCATTATCATTAATGTCTAATACAGTAACATGTATTTGAACAGTTCCAGATAACTGCGGATCACCGCCATCAAAAGCGGTTAACAATAACGTAACCACTCCTTTCTTTTCTCTATCAAGCGGTTTTTCCAAAACCATTTCTACTTTTTTATCCCCACCTGCTTGACTGTGCAGTTCAAGGACAAAATTATCAGTCGGTTTAAGTGAATAGCTTTGAAGATCATTAACTCCTACGTCCACATCCACGGCTCCCTCCAGCAAGAATCTCGCGCCTGTTACAGCGGATTCACTGATTTCAAACTCAATTCGTTTTTTCTGGAACGTGGGTGAATTATCGTTTATATCCGTAATTTCAACCGTAATCGTGTATAATTCCATGGGGTTTTCCAAAATCAGCTGAAGGTGCAAAGCGCATGGGGTCGTTTTTGCACAAAGAGACTCGCGATCCATTTTCTCTTTGATGAGCAGGAAGCCAGTGTCTTTATTGAGAACAGTATATTCAGTACTGTCGCCTGTATATATGCGCGCTTTTCCTGACCTCAGCCGTTGTAAATCCAAGCCCAAATCCTGCGCGACATTTCCCACAATAGAGCCTTTAGCCATTTCTTCTGGAATGGAGTAACTGATTTGTCCTCGTGCCGAATGAAGCAGGACGACGGAGAACAATACCGAGTACCACATTACGACACCATGCATTTTTTTTTTTCAATATCACCGAAAAACCACAGAAAAAAAAAGGTTCTCAACGATTTCGAAGTGAGACTTGAAAAGGGAAAATAGTAAATTCAAGTTCTTTTAATCCAGGTAAGAACAAAACGTCGCATTTGTTTCAAGAAACTCGACAACAATGAGCGATCTGGAAGCGTTTCCTCCTTTCCTCTCTCACTGTGAATATGGGATGATGGGGCAGGGTTTAAAATACACACAGACAAAGTGCTACATTGACAAACAGCGGCCCTGTGAGTCTAATCCTAGCACTACATATACAATCACAACAAACTCAATTTTTGCACAAAAAAAAAAAATAATAAAAATAAAAACGTTTGTCAAAAAATTAAAGAATAATAGTATAATGGAAAGAAACAATTTTAGACCGTATACTATCTAATTTATTAAACTGTCATCAAGACCACACTCATGCGCTGTAAGATGTGTTCTGATAGACTAATCTAAATTGATATTTTAGCATGACAACTACAAATAGTAAAAAGATAATATTAATAATGTTTCAAATGTATTGTTATTATTACTATTTTATTTATTTATTTACCAATTTTACTGAACATTTTGGTTTGTTTGTTTTGTGACGTATAAAATATGGTTCTTACCGATGCCGGATATTCATTTTCCAAACCTTTATCTTCCTTGATTGTGTGCTGCATCGTCTCAGCGAAACTTCGCTCCACAACTAAAACATTCTGTCCACCGAGTGTAGAAAACTTACAGTCACTCTTCCTCGAGTCAGTCGTCATGCACACTTCATAATTATACCCGTGCGGCAGAGTTCCAGTCACTCCTGTGTCTGCGTAATGCGGTGGATAGTACGGGATAACAGGCAGACTGGACTGATATAAGAAGCGAGATTGTCTCCATCTGTAGATCTTTACTGATATTATGACAACCATGCAAGTGATAAACAAGAAAGAAACAGCAGCCAGTGCCAGAACTAAATAAAAGGTCAGGTTGTCGTCATATTGTTTTTCATGTGTAAAGTCAGTTAATTCTGACAGCATTTCAGGAAAGCTGTCAGCCACAGCCACATTAATGAAGACCACAGCTGAGCGAGAGGGCTGTCCGTTATCCTCCACAACAACAGTGAGTTTTTGTTTCACAGCATCTTTATCAGTCACTTGTCGCACAGTTCTTATTTCTCCATTCTGTAAACCCACTTCAAACAGCGCTCTGTCTGTAGCTTTCTGTAGTTTATAGGAGAGCCAGGCATTCTGTCCAGAGTCCACATCAACAGCCACCACTTTAGTGACCAGATATCCAACATCTGCAGCACGAGGCACAATCTCAGCCACCACAGAAGCACCAGTCTGTACTGGATACAGAACCTGAGGAGCGTTGTCATTCTGATCTTGAATAATTATTTTCACTGTCACGTTACTGCTGAGCGGAGGAGCGCTTCCATCTTGCGCTTTTACCCAGAAGTGGAAATCTTTCAGCTGTTCGTAGTCAAAAGAGCGCACAGCTGTAATCAGTCCGCTGTCAGGTTGAACTGACACATATGATGAGACAGAGACTCCATTAACAGTGCTGTCTTCTAGAATATAAGAAACACGGGCATTCTGATTCCAATCAGCATCACTGGCTTTAACTGTAAATATAGAGAGACCATGGTGCGTTTTCTGTTATGGTGGTTTTATATACTTTTTGCGTAAAGACAGGAGCATTATCATTAATGTCTAACACAGTGATGTGTATCTGTACAGTGCCAGAAAGCACCGGATCGCCTCCATCAAACGCTTCTAACAACAAAGTAAATAAGCTTTGCGTTTCTCTATCAAGTGGCCTTTCTAAAATCATCTCGACGTTTTTACTACCGTCTGCCTGATTGTGCAGTTCTAGCCGGAATTTGTCATTCGGTTTCAGCGAGTAGCTTTGAAGATCATTTGTTCCTACATCCGCATCGAAAGCTCCCCCAAGCATAAAACCAGCACCCGCCACCGCCGATTCGCTGATCTCAAATCTAATGTCCTTTTTCTGGAAACTCGGAGCGTTATCATTTATATCCGTGATTTCTATTGTAATCGTGTAGAATTCCATCGGGTTTTCCAAAATCATTTGAAGTTGTAAAGCACACGGAGTTGTTTTTGCACAAAGAGATTCGCGATCCATTTTCTCTCTAATAAGCAGCTGTCCAGTGTTTCTGTTCAGTTCGATGTATTCCGTACTGTCTCTTGTATAAATTCTCGCTTTTCCTGATTTCAGTCGTTGTAAATCCAAGCCCAAATCCTGCGCAATATTTCCCACCATCGATCCTTTTGCCATTTCTTCGGGAATGGAGTAACTCACTTGTCCTCGCGCAATTTGAACCAGAAGAATCAAAAACAACATCGAGCGTCTTATCATTGCATCAGGCATTGTCTCAATTGCACCGATGATCGAATAAGAAACAATCATCTATCAGTGTATCCTTTAAGTCTATAAAATTAAATTAATATGTATTCACTTGAATTATGTGTGTACTCGCCAACGAGTTTTTTGCAGAAAATCCGTGCAAGAAAATAATTTCTGAGACGGTAGCTTTTCTTCCTTTCTCTCTGATATTATGTGATGCTGGGGGTGCGTGTAAAATACACATTTTCTCCTCCATTTGTCGATGAACAGCGGCCCTCTGAGTGTAAATAAGGAATTGCATGTCAAAGTTATACATACAAACGCTTTTTATCAACGAATATTAGTTTCTAGGCTTATATGACACTGCAAATAAAGCCAGTTATTATTATATGATAATTGTTCTAGAATATAAGAAACACGGGCATTCTGATTCCAATCAACATCACTGGCTATAACTGTAACTATAGAGAGACCAGGTGTGTTATTCTCCAGCACACAGGCCTCATAGTGACTTTTCTCAAATACAGGAGCATTGTCATTCACATCTGATATCTGTAAACGAAGAGAGACATTGCTGGAGAGCGCTGGCACTCCCTCATCAGTACATATTACACTGATATTGTACTCAGCTTCTCTCTCTCTGTCCAATTCCTGCTCTGTTTGCAAGCTGAAGAAGCTAGACTGAGATGTTATCGCAAAGGGAATATTCTCATTTATGATACACTGAACCTGCCCATTTACACCTGAATCAAGATCATCAACATTTAGCATTGCAACAACAGTACCAGACTTAGAATCTTCAGGTATGGAGTGGGAACTGGACAGAATCTGAATACTAGGCGAATTATCATTAATATCCAGCACAGCGATAATTACTTTGCATGCGTTTAGAAGTCCTCCTTGATCTTTTGCCTGAATATTAAGTTCAAAATGGCTCACCTTTTCAAAGTCAACATGGCCGTTTAATATTAATTCACCAGTTTGCTCTTTAACAAGAAACACGTCGGCCACATTACTGTCCATTGTGTCAGATATGTAGTACGTCACTACACTGTTGGATCCTTCGTCTGCATCAGACGCGCTCACGACTGTTAGTACAGTACCTTTTGGTGCGTTTTCTGTTATGGTGGTTTTATATACTTTTTGCATAAAAACAGGAGCATTATCATTAATATCTAACACAGTGATGTGTATCTGTACAGTGCCAGAAAGCACCGGATCGCCTCCATCAAATGCTTCTAACAACAAAGTAAATGAGCTTTGCGTTTCTCTATCAAGTGGTCTTTGTAAAATCATCTCGACGTTTTTACTACCGTCTGCCTGATTGTGCAATCCAAGCCGGAATTGTTCACTCGGTTTTAGCGAGTAGCTCTGTAGAGCATTTGATCCTACATCTGGATCGAAAGCTCTCCCGAGCATAAAACCAGCACCCGCCACCGCCGATTCGCTGATCTCAAATCTGAAGTCCTTTTTCTGGAAACTGGGAGCGTTATCATTTATATCCGTGATTTCTATTGTAATCGTGTATAATTCCATCGGGTTTTCCAAAATCATTTGAAGATGCAATGCACACGGAGTTGTTTTTGCACAAAGAGATTCGCGATCCATTTTCTCTCTGATAAGCAGCAATCCAGTGTTTCTGTTCAGTTCGATGTATTGCGTGCTGTCTCTGGTAAATATTCGCGCTTTTCCTGACTTTAATCGTTGCAAATCCAAGCCCAAATCCTGCGCAATATTTCCCACCATCGATCCTTTTATCAATTCTTCTGGAATGGAATAACTGACTTGTCCTCGCGCAATTTGAATCAGAAGAGTCAAAGACAGCACCGAATACCGTATCATTGCATCAGGGCCAGCCATTGTCTCAGCACCACAGACGTTTCAAAAATACAGCAATCAATCCGTATCCTCTAAAAACATGGAATTCCAAATGCAGACATTAACTCCGTACACGACGACGAGCAATGAATAGAAGTATCGTGTAGGAAAAGAATTTGATGTGACAGCTGTAAGCTATTGCCATTTTCTCCGTGAAATTGTGTGATACTGGGTGAGGTCTGTGAAATAAACGGGTTCGCCGCTGTTTGTCGACGAACAGCGGCCCTCTGAGTGTAAATAAGAAACTGCAAGTCAAAGTTATACATACAAGCAAACGCATTTTTATCAACGAATATTATTTTCTAGGCTTATATCACACTGCGAATAAAACCAGTTATTATTATGTTATAGGCCTACTATCTGTGTTCCAGGACAATTAGCCGATTAAAAGAAAAAGACTAATATGCAGGTTGGATGTGAAAATAATCACTCACGGAATAAGTGAATTTTATAGGCGTCAATTCGATTTTGAGTAAAATTATAAGTACAACAGAATGAAGAAGTCCATAGTCCTATTTATTAATAGACGTTCATCCAGCGAGGCGCTGTTCCGCACAAATGGTGCTGAACGATGCCAGTGTGCCCTATAGCGTTTTTATGATTATTTTATGATAATTGTACATTTTTCCAATGATTCGCTTTAACAACCGTTAACATGTTGTCTACATGTAGACCTGCATCAGAAATATCATACTGTTGTTTATTTAATTTGTTTCTTCTTCCATTTAAGGCAATGCATAGTATCAATCGGATCTTTGTTCACGACCAAAACATTCTAAAGAATGAGTACATAGAAAAAGGGCCACTCTCTCCTGGCATATATTTAGGTAGGAATCAGAAAACAATTCCAACAATTTACAGGACTAAAATGTGTGATCCTATTTAAACTCCGTCTAATCTCGATATTTCAAAAAGTTAAGGCTGTATATAATAAGTACAGTCATTCGTACTCTATAGTTAGTTGATCACCAAAAACAATTATACACGAGTTTTCCAGTCTCTTTTCAAAACAAACATATAAATATAACAGCACCCGTGGCAGTTATACAACCTTCTAGTCTATGTTTAATATAGTCCCAAATAACTGTATCCAACATTAGCAGTAAGCAACACAGCAAGCAATAAACACAAAGAGATTTGTTTCCAACATATGGAAAATTTTGAAGTACGAGATACTGGTATTAGAAATTTAGAATGAGGAAAACCAACACAGTGTTATGTCAATCCGTAACTATTTTAAGATTTGTATTTATTTAATTATTTATTTTATTTTATTTTATTTCTTATTTATTGTTATTTGTAGCAAATCTGTATGAATTCTGACGATCGCATTTGTACGTTTCGTTTCTGCTAATATCCCACTTGGGTTAGATTTAGGGATGCAACTTATCCTGAAATTATGACGATGATGAGAGAGAAAGTTTTGTTTTAATTTACACCACAGAAAAAAAAACAAGTTGGTGCTTCTAAGATGAGCATGTTATAAATATAAAAATTATTAGTTAATAGACAAAGCTGAATGATATTACGTTACTGCTGAGCGGAGGAGAGCCTCCATCTTGCCTTTTACCCGGAAGTGGAAATCTTTCAGCTGTTCGTAGTCAAAAGAGCGCACAGCTGTAATCAGTCCACTGTCAGGTTGAACTGACACATATGATGAGACAGAGACTCCATTAACAGTGCTGTCTTCTAGAATATAAGAAACACGGGCATTCTGATTCCAATCAGCATCACTGGCTTTAACTGTAAATATAGAGAGACCGGGTGTGTTATTCTACTCAGCTTCTCTCTCTCTGTCCAATTCCTGCTCTGTTTGCAAGCTAAAAAAAACTACTGGAAGACGCAATAGCAAATGGAATATTATAATTAATGTAGCAGTGAACCTGGCCATTCAACCCGGAGTCAAGATCATTTACATTTAGCATTGCAACAACAGTGCTAGGTCTAGACTCCTCTGATACTGAATTTGACATAGATACGATGCGTATTGCTGGTTTGTTATCGTTTATATCAGTGAGATCAGTTATAACTTTACATGAATCAGACAGTCCTCCTTGGTCGCGTGCTTGTATGTTAAGTTGATAACGACTTGCCTTTTCAAAGTCAGCTGAGCCTTTTAAGGTTATTTCCCCGCTTCGTGCGTCAACCATGAATAAATCGTTTACATCTCCAATGCTTGACATGTAGTACGTTATAATCGCATTCGAGCCTTCATCAGCATCAGAAGCGCTGACGCACGTCATAACAGTGTCTTTAGGTGTATTTTCAGGAAGAGTGGCTTTGTACACCTTCTGACTAAACAGGGGTGGATTGTCGTTAGCATCTAGCACAGTAACATGTATTCGCACAGTGCTGGTCAGCTGAGGCTCACCTCCATCTACTGCCGTTAACAACAAAGACAACTGTTATTTGTTTTCACGGTCTAGAGGCTTTTGTAGCACCATCTCCATGTTTCTGTCGCCATCCGCTTGACATTGCAAACTTAATACAAAATTATCTGTCGGTTTCAGTGAATAACTCAGATGACTGTTAGATCCAACATCCAGATCAATCGCATTTTCCAACATGAATCTTGCTCCGGATACAGCAGACTTGCTTATTTCAAATGTAATCTCACCTTTTGGAAAACTCGGAGCATTATCATTTATGTCGATGATTTCCACTGTGATATCATACCATTCCATTGGATTTTCCAAAATCAGCTGAAGGTGTAAAGCGCAAGGTGAGAAGTATCCCCCTCTCATTATTCAATCCGACGAATTTGGTGTTGTCTCCAGCAAACATGCGCGCCTTCCCTGACTTCAGTCTTTTTAAATCCAAACCCAAGCCTTGATAAATATTTCCAACGATCGACCCTTTTGGCATTTCTTCTGGAATGGAATAGCTGATCTGCCTTCTCACCGAGTATCGAAACAGGATAATAAAAAACGCTGCCTGGTGCCACATTACAGAGCTGGCCATTTTCCGACGTTCTTCAGATCCTTAAGATCGGTCGGTTTTATTACAAAATAAAGACGTTACACGTGAAAGTCCGACCCCAACAAGAAATCTACAATAAGACCAGGATATCCATCTACAGTACATCCGACAAAATTATCGTTTCTAGTCATCAGGCTTTATTTCACTGTTCTCTGACATCACTGCATTTTGTGGGTAGGTATGACTGACTGCGTTGCGTTGATCTACAGCGGCCCTATGAGCCTTCTCTAAGAATTGCAATAGTTTGTTTAGGATATATCACAGAAGAGCAGGACACAAGTGATTTGTCAAACTAAAAGTTCTGCAAACCTTTAAAAAAATCTAACCAGGTGCCACATTAATACAAAATCTAAATATTTTTAATTCGCAATAGATTACTTTTATTTTATTCGTGAAATAAACTGTAAGTTACTTTGATAAAGTGTGCTACAAAAAAAACAAAACCAAACAATCTAACAAACAAATAAATAAATAAATAAATAAATAAATAAATAAAGCAAGGATTGGAAAGTGAAGCTCTGATTTTACTGAACTCCAAAGAAGGTAAAATATATATATATTACTATTTGGCGCTGTCCAGTAAGTGGTTCTGAAACGTTGTTGCAGTGTCACATTACCACAAAAGTAAAATAAAATAAAAAAAACTATGCCAAGAAATACACGATCACAGACCAAAGAGACTATAAGTAATTTATAAGAAAAGTGTTTAAGGTGCCATCTTACCAATTCTGAAAGACTGTTTTTTTCCTTAAAGTTAATTTCCTTCATTGCGCGCTGCATCGTCTCAGTGAAACTCGGGTCCACCACTAAAACATTCTGCCCACCGAGTGTAGAAAACTTACAGTCACTCTTCCTCGAGTCAGTCGTTATGCACACTTCATAATTATACCCGTGCGGCAGAGTTCCAGTGACTCCTGTGTCTGCGTAATGCGGTGGATAGTACGGAATAACAGGCAGATTGGACTGATATAAGAAGCGAGATTGTCTCCATCTGTAGATCTTTACTGATATTATGACAACCACACAAGTGATAAATAAGAACGAAACAGCGGCCAGTGCCAGAACTAAATAAAAAGTAAGGTTGTCGTCATACTGTTTTTCATGCGTAAAGTCTGTGAACTCAGACAGCACTTCAGGAAAGCTATCAGCCACAGCCACGTTAATGGAGACCACAGCTGAGCGAGAGGGCTGTCCTTTATCCTCCACAACAACAGTGAGTTTTTGTTTCACCGCATCTTTATCAAGCACTTGTCACACAGTTCTTATTTCTCCATTCTGTAAACCCACTTCAAACAGCGCTCTGTCTGTAGCTTTCTGTAGTTTATAGGAGAGCCAGGCATTCTGTCCAGAGTCCACATCAACAGCCACCACTTTAGTGACCAGATATCCAACATCTGCAGCACGAGGCACAATCTCAGCCACCACAGAAGCACCAGTCTGTACTGGATACAGAACCTGAGGAGCGTTGTCATTCTCATCTTGAATATTGATAGTTATTGTCACTTCAGAGCTCAAGGGCGGGGATCCTCCATCTCGAGCTGTCACGTTAAAGGCAAACCACTTCAACTGTTCAAAATCAAATGATTTAACTGCCTGAGGGGTGGAGAGCCTCCATCTTGCGCTTTCACACAAATATGAACACTTTTCATTTGCTCGTAGTCAAAACCGCGCAGTGCGTGAACCACTCCACTGTCAGCATTTACTGATATAAACGAGGAAACAGGGGATCCACCCACTGTAGTTTCATCAAGAAGATACGAAACACGAGCGTTCTGGTTCCAGTCATCATCTTGGGCACTCAGAGTAAATATGGACAAACCAGGTGGATTGTTTTCAGCAACATATGTAGTGTAAATAGTCTTTTGAAACCTGGGCGGATTGTCATTAACATCTGATACTTTCAGATTTAAAGTTTTCTGACTCGAAAGCGCAGGAGATCCTGAATCTGTAGCTGTGATTGTGATATTATATTCTGCCACACGTTCGCGATCTAAAGCAGCATCAGTGACTAAAGAGTAATGGCTGCGTTTCCTAAACCACCCTGGTCTTTGGCCTCGATTCCAATTTCGTATTTTTTTGCGTTTTCATAATCAAGTTCCCCAATTAGAGTTATAACACCGGTTGTTTCATCGATTTTAAAAATGTCTTTTA